GTGAGTGTTTTGTTTTCGGGGTCACCTGATGCCCATGATCTATACATTTATTATCTTTTTCTATATATATCCTCAGAATCATTTGGTACTGTGGACCTTGTTTCATTTGGGGTGGCTATCCAGGAAGTCCCTACACTTGAGAAGCGGGTATGATAGTCTCACTATTGAGAAGGTAACAGCAGTATCCATTGACTACTGTGGAGGGAGGCCTGGTGAATTTTGGATGTGATTTGGTTTCCATATTTCTATACATATACTATGTATTTCTGTGTTCCAGCTTTTACATTCCAGGAGGTCCCTGACATATATTGGGAACACACCTACTGAATACATGGTTCACTCAAATTTAAAGCGGGAAACCTACGGAAACCCAGGATAACTATTTCATCATTACACAACTCTGCCTTATATGGTGCTCTGTTGGCTAAGATGACCCTAAATTGAAGACGCTTAGTGTTTTTTAACATGATTTTAATTTTTTTCATATGTACACCGTGCTCATGTTTAACCTCCCTATGATCTATGTGATCAAATAAAGTATTGTTAAAATTCCTTTGAATTCATATTACTCCGCGTGGATCATTTAGAAACCTTCTTTTTTAGATAGGGGTGTTCTTCTCACACTATCATATTGCTTAGTATGTTGTTCTTTGGGTTTATGTATCCACACTTATACAAGTGAGTCGGAGATATGCTAATGACATCAGTAATTCGTGTCATTTTTTGGTGGCCTGCTTTTGCTTTATTGTTGTGATATTTTTTAGATATACCTCCGGTTCTTATTCGGGCAATATATATTTGCTAATGTACAATCTATTTCCTGTAGTTTTCCTTTCAAAAACAGGAATCTCCCTTCCGGATCTACCAATCTCTTTTCCAACTTAAACCGTATATTTTTTGCAAATCCTATTGTCACTCCCTTTGCACATTTAACCGGGGAATCTGCATAAAACCGCTCTGGATAATGTCTAGTTTGTAACTTCACATTTGTTTCTTGTACTAGATGAGTCTCTTGTAGAAACACCACTGAGGAAAATCTATGTTGAAGGTATTTAAGAATCCTAAATTTCTTCTCAGGACTATTTAAACCTTTAACATTATAAGTCACAAAGTGAATCTCTTCTATTTTTCTCACCTCCTCTCATCCTTCTTCGCCCTCCTCCTCTCTCTTCCTCTCTACCCCGTATTTTCCCCTTTGTTCTCTAAAGTTTCTACAAATTAGTGTACCTCCAGCTATCCTGCATAATCTAAGGCTGCCAACTACCCTCCCATAACCCTCTCCCTCCCCCTTCCCATCCCCTCCCTTTTTAGGCCCATATTTTGCCTATGAATCATTTGTGGTCTTAATCCCACTCTTGATTCCACTTTAGGGTGTAACTCTGAGCATGTCCACCTCATCCCATTTACCCTCCCCCAGCATCCTGACAAAACAAGAAGAAAAGATTAAAAAAAAAAAAGGGAAGGAAAAGGGAGTAAGTAGAGGGGGGGGGGCCCGACCGCCTTCCTATGCTACCTACCACCTCTCGTTCTCCCCAATCCATCTCTCCCCCCCCCCCCTCTCCCCATCCAGGAATATCTATATTTTGCAACTCAAGTCTCTCACAGAAGTCTCTCAGTTCTTTGGGAAACTTTAATCTTGCAGATCATCCATTTTTCCACCCGATTAAGCATGCTGGGAACCCCCAGCTATATCAAACACCCTGCTTCTTCATTTGCTCTACCAATGGTTTAAAAATGTTCTTTCTTGAGAGTGTCTCTGCAGCAAGATCAGCAAAGATCTGTACATTTGTTTCTCCATAGTTTATAACAGCTCTTCCTTTCATCCTTTTCCAGATCTCCTCTTTATCCCAATAGTAGTGGAATTGAGCTATAACATCTCTCGATCTTCCTTTTCCCCCTCCTTGAAGTAATCTTCCAATTCTGTACACCCCATCAATTTTATGGGGTTCTGCTGAAGATCTGTCCATTATGGTGTCAAACATTTTCTCTATCGTTTCCCTAAGATCTTCTCCTTGAGAAATCTCTGGTAGACCTTGTATCCTTAAATTGCATCTTCTGTTCCTATTTTCTTGGTCTCCCAATTTATATAACAGATTTCTTTGTTCTTTTTTCATTTCCACCATTTTATTTTCTAAGGTCTGTATATCTTGAGTGTGCTTGTTTGTTTTTTCTTCCATCTCTTCCATTCTAGACAAAACCTACCCCAGTTCTTTATGTAACTTTACCATCTCTTTTTTTTATAGTTGTTTCCAGACCTTTAAACATTTCTACTATTTCTGATTTAGTCAGCAACTGAGTCCTGATCTTCCAAATTCTGCAGAGCGTTTATTTTCTCAAAATCTGCTTCTTCCAGGTTTTGGCTAATATTAGAGATTCCCAGGGATATTCTGGGGCTCCTACCACTGTTCTCCATCCCACTCTGCCTCTCAGGTGTCCGTTTATCCTGCCCGGGGATATATTTCTTAATCGAGTTTGATATGGGAGCCTTTGAGCCCCCTCCTTTTGTTGCTTTGTTCTTCATTTTAATATAATTCCAGTGTCCAATATCTGATGGGATCAATAATCCACTCCTCCTTTTAAATTCCCCTTCTTCTTTCCTCCTCTCTCCTTCTTTATCCCCCAACAGGAGCTAGCTTTCTATCCTTTACTTCTTCCTTTTTTCTCTTCTTTCCCTCCTTCCTGTCCCCAGTTTAAATATATTTTAAATACGTTTAAATACAAGACCCTCTTTAATCTCCATAATGTTCCTTAAGTGCAGCCCCTGCTCCTTTAACCATCCATATTTACTTCAATCTGCAATTTGACACTTAACACATAGCACAATCCATTCTCTTCTGCCGCTCTCACTCAACCTTTTAGCTCTCACTTCTTCACTTTCAAGGGGGGTGGCGTCTGGAGGTCTCATCGGCAGAGGGTTGCAAAAGAGGGTCCTTCCACTTCAGCAGGCTTTCCAGGGTATATCCCTTCTACAATTATACTTATCTACAGTCAGTCCATGCCACATAGAAAAACTGCTTTTTTTTTATTGTTAGTCCTGGGAATCAATATTAAAACAGTACTGGCCGAAGTAAAGAATTCATTAGGCTCAAAATGAAACTCTAAGGTGAAACTCATTGGTTTCCAATTCCAGCTCCCTGGAAGGAATCCAGCTAAGGAGGTGCAGGAGACAGGGGAGAGAGGGGAGCTCAATATTGCAGTGCTTTCCTGTGCCATATGCCGGCCATCTTTTCTCTCCGAAGATTCCCCTGCAGCAGGTCATATGACCAGCCAGCATGCTCTGTGACTCGGCTACTCGGCTCTCTGGATCTCCTCGTCCCCCGGCTCTCCTCCACATGCACACTGAGGATCCACAGGCGTCGGGCCGGACACCACAGCTCACCTATGGGACACAGCAACAGGCAAGACCCCCTCCTCCCTCCCGGCTATCCCCCTTCTTCCATTCAGATCTAAATAGCAAGACGCTGGAGGAGCCTGGGTTCGGGAGATCTTACAACGATCTCCCATTCAGCACCATACTCAGGCTCCTCCCCCCGGGACCATTGACCATTCTCTGCCTGACCCCCTGTACCTACCTGTCCGTTAGTTGCTGTACCCGGCTCATGACCTGAATACTCTCCGCCTGCTCCTCCTGTACCTACCTGCCCGATAGTTATCGACCCGGCCTGCCTGACTACGTTGTGCTCTATATGTGTATCTACCTGTGTATCTATATCAGGTTAGGTTTGGGTTTGTTTCACCTTGTTGTATGTATTTGTGTTAGCTTGGGGTTTGGTGCACTGCGTTATATTTGTATTGTTAGTCTTAATAAATTGTCTTATTTATACCATATCTGAAGCCTGCGTTTCCCTGTGTCAGTACACACACCTCTGGTCACACCCGGAGCCCTGACATTACACCAAGGCCATCCTGATCAGAAGTGGCTGCACAGGGAAGCCATCTTGGCTTGTTGCTGGGAAGGATGGATCTTGATGAGGTTGTGTATTTGTCGCTGCTGGTTTTTGATGACAGAGAATATGCTTATCAGACTCTGAGGGAGTATACCCGGGATCAACTGCTAGAATGTATACGGGTCGCTCATCTTCTAGTAGATCAGGGCACAAAGTTCTCTGATGTGCAACCTTTGATTCAGGTTTGTGCAGAGTTGGCTTCATCTGGTACCCCTGAAAGCAGGAATGACTTTTTGCCACCATTTAGTGCAGACCAGGTAGAGTCCCTGGTGTGGTTATTGGAGGATGATGTGGATTACATCTTGGAGCATTATGCTGCATGTTCACAACAGGTATTAAGGGATTGTATAAACGCAGTGCAGTCTTTGACCAGACAGGCTTTGTGTAAGCTGAGCTTTGTTCAACCCATACTGCAGACATGGTCAGACTTGTTGCACCCAGCCTCAGTCAGCTTACAATGTCATTCCTCCGCTCAAGGCACTCTTCCTGCATCCCCGACAGCACCCCCAGTGACGGCCCAGTATACTCTGCTAACTACCACATATCAGTCCTCTGCTCCCACTTGCTGCACCTATCCTTTTTTTAACCCTGTAAAGAAGTCCGCTATAGCAACTGCTCCCTCCTCTGTTCCATCCTCCAGCTCTTCTCTGTCTTCAGCTGCTCCATCCGTTTACAAACCTGCGCTTACTTACAGTGCTCCAGTAACTAAAACCAGGAAAAGGCAAAAATTCTTTCCAACCAATACCATCCAGCCAGTATCCAAACCGGTCAGCCTGCCATCTGAGAACCCGCCTTCTGTGATGCAGCCTGGTGCCTCGGCACCCACAATTCAGCCTGATGTCTCTACCCAGCCTGATGTCTCTACCCAGCCTGATGAACTGATCCAGCCTGATGATCCTATTATGCCAGATGACTCGATGCCCGCTGTCTTGCCAGATGACTCGGTGCCCGCAGTCTTGCCAGACGACTCGGTGCCCGCAATCTTGCCAGATGACTCGGTGCCCGCAGTCTTGCCAGAGGACTCGGTGCCCGCAGTCTTGCCAGACGACTCGGTGCCCGCAGTCTTGCCAGATGATCCAATGCCTGATGACCCAGTGTCCGCTGTCATACCTGGTGACCCGATGCCCACTGCCTTGCTAGATGACTCGGTGCCCGCTGTCGAGCCAGATGACCTGATGCCTGGTGACCCGATGCCCGCTGTCGTGCCTGGTGACCCGATGCCCGCTGTCGTGCCTGGTGACCCGATGCCCGTTGTTGAGCCAGATGACCTGGTGCCCGCGGTCGAGCAAGACGATCCAATGTCTGATAACCCGGTGCCCGCGGTTGTACCTGGTTACCCGATGCCCGCTGTCGAGCCAGATGGCCCGGTGCCCGCCGCTCCATCTGGGGGCCCGGTGCCCGCCGCTCCGCCTGGGGGCCCGGTGCCCGCCGCTCTGCCTGGGGGCCCGGTGCCCTGCCTGGTTGCCCGTCGCTCCGCCTGGGGGCCCTGTGCCCACCGCTCAGCCTGGGGGCCCGATGCCCGCCGCTCCGCCTGGTGGCCCGGTGCCCACTGCCCCGCCTGGTGGCCCGGTGCCCACTGCCCCGCCTGGTGGCCCGGTGCCCACTGCCCCGCCTGGTGGCCCGGTGCCCACTGCCCCCGCCTGGTGGCCCGGTGCCCACTGCCCTGCCTGGTGCCTGCTGCTCCGCCTGGTGATCCGGTGTCCAGCTCGAAGTGTCTCCGTCCGGTGTCCAGCCCGAAGTGCCTCCGTCCGGTGCCCAGCTCGAAGTGCCTCCGTCCGGTGCCCAGCCCGATGTGCCAGTCTTTGATATCCCGCCAGTCACCGGACCCGGGCGGTGGAACATTTTGCCCAGCTAGGACTGTTTGGAGAGTCCTAAGGCCGCTCCTTGAGGGGGGGGGTACTGTCAGGAATGGACTTGCCAATAGTGGTGGGACTCACCTGCCTTGTGGGCTGCAGTACCAGGGCTGGCCAGCGGGTGCTCTCAACAACCAGAGGTTCACTTCGGCAATTAGCCATCACCTGGGGCTGATTGCAGGTGGTGTATTTAAGGGATTGCCAGACCTGCAGTCTGTGCCTTGGTGTATGTTTTTTCCATGGGCCCCTGTATCTTGTAAACTGCATTCCTGTTCCTGCCTGACTTGTTGCCAACCCTGCCTGATCCTGATCTCTGCTGACTTCTCCTGTTTGATCCCTGGCTTGTGACCCTGACCATTCTCTGCCTGACCCCCTGTACCTACCTGTCTGTTAGTTGCTGTACCCGGCTCGTGACCTGACTACTCTCCGCCTGCTCCTCCTGTACCTACCTGCCCGATAGTTATCGACCCGGCCTGCCTGACTACGTTGTGCTCTATATGTGTATGTACCTGTGTATCTATAGCAGTTTAGGTTTGGGTTTGTTTCACCTTGTTGTATGTATTTGTGTTAGCTTGGGGTTTGGTGCACTGCATTTATATTTGTATTGTTAGTCTTAATAAATTGTCACACACACCTCTGGTCACACCCGGAGCCCTGACAGTAGGTGAATTAAGCATTAGCAGGAAGTGATTAGAGCAGTAGTAGGGAGATGGTAGAAGTGAGGGTGATATGTATAAGCTTTGAGGTGGAGCAGAGGTATAAAGAAATGAAATTTTGAGAACAGAGGATAGTAATATGAAAAGGAGGAGTAGAGGGGGCATATTGAAAGGTAGATGGAGTGGGAATCAGACTTGTAGGAGATGGAGAGTTCTTTGTTGTATTTTTTTGCTGCTTGAGTTATCCTGCTTTAGTTAAACTGCTGTGTTCAGCTGCTGTTATACACTCCAGCAGGAAATGCACTCGCGGGCTGGAGGGAATAGTATGAGCTCTGTTTTAGAAAGATTTAGTTTGAGGAAGTGGAGGGACATCCATGCAGATATGTCACTTAGTAGGTTAGTAATGCGAGAGGAGACTGCTTGTATATAAAATCCCATTTCCTTTAGGCAATGTCATATAGTTTGGGGCAGGCCAACCTCTGATGATGTGTTCTGCACGAAAGGCCTAAGGAGGAGCCAACAGAGTGTGACGTCACAGCCACCTGGAGCCACGAGGAGGCCTGGCGGCCATCTTAACTAAGGGGTCAGTACTACTCTGCATTATTATTGTGATATCTGAGTGATATACTACCCTGTTTTAACCTACATTTTGAGCAATAAAATCTTGAAACTACTACACTATGGGTATCTGTCCTTTGGTTCCCTTTGGAGCCAATTAACTTCCAGGATATCCCATTAGGATCCACGACCACCAGAGGGAGGGAGCCCTGTATCCAGGCTGTGCACCCGTCCAACCTTAAGGGGACCTCTGGACCTAGCAGTTTAACCACACATCACCAAGACAAGATTACCTACCCCTAGATGGAAGCTCACCTATTCCGCCTGCCTAAGTGACCTTGGTGGATACTGATTACATGCGCAATATTTATGCGCGTCCGGTGAGTGTACATTTCTATCATTTGTTCCTGCCACAAGTCTTGGTATTCTGCTATAACAAGTGGATCATCTTTTACATATATTTTAGGAACTATTTATTTATGCTTCTAACTTTTGTGGACAATTTATGATTTATTGAGAATATCTAGCGCTGCACTTTACTTTGGTTACTGATGATCTGTATGTTGCTGTAAAAATATACTAATAAAATAGCCACAGGCTACTTTTCCAGTTATTCTCCAGTCTGAGTAGGGGGAGCCCAACTTAAGAAATCATGCAGCCTCATGACCACTACATGCTGTACATCTTCCCTGGTCCTTACTGTTCCCATCCACCCTAGCAACTTCAACCCCCCATTATTATAGTCTAGCAAGGAGAAGGAAAAGCCAACCCAGGAACAGGGCAGGAAAATAAATGGGAACCAATGCCCCCTTACAGGTTTCAAGTTGCAGAAAAAGAAAAAGAAGACAAGTGTCCCAGGAACAACCATCCCCTCTATCAGCTCTGGTGAAGACCAAATGGAACTTCCAGTAGAAGTCACTGATCAGAGGGTATTGCAACAAAAACCCTTTCAATAGTATTTTAACAGACCAAAGGTGAGCAAACAAGACAAGATTATGATTAACGTTTATATGATTTTTACTTGAGCTGTTTAGATCTATAAACAGGTTTTTACTTCAAGAGGTGCAAAGGAAACTACCTCCACCTGCTTGTGAGATGGAAGTCTATGCAATGTTCGTAAATGATAGGTCATATCTGGCTCAGTAAAAAAAAAAATTGAGAAACAAAAATTATTTTTCATTCCTGACTTTAAAAAAGGGTGAAAATATATAAATAACCACTATACATTTCCTTTAAACAAAACCTTTTTAAAAGCTGGGATACTTCATCTAAACCCTTCCCTGGGCTTCCATACAGGCAAATCCCATCTTCTGACCCATGCCTTCCCCCAGGTGAATATTTGTTTGACACTTGACTTTAGAGATTTATTTTGATTCCAGAAATCCACATAGAAAATATATATTATATATTTTATTTATAAATGTATGCCAAGGTTTAAAATAATGGTTGTCTTAGAAAAAAATTGGCGTGTAGTTAAGCACGCTTGGGTTTCCTTGGAAACAGATTTCCTGACACTTATGGCTTTTTGATGCACTCAGCAGCAAGCCAGGCATTTGACATGGGCATTCCTCCTTTCACACTGAAAATGAGAACAAACTGTCAAGTATACAGGCATTGAGGTTATGAAGATAGATCTGCAGTCTTTAAAGCACATCACATGTATGTAAAAGCTGGTTTCTGTCTAAGGAACACCACAAGTTGATTTCAGATTTTCTTTTCAACTTTTGTATGAATTCATCTAGAAAACATACTGTAAGAAAGAAAAAGAACTTGTAAAGCAGAGATGCAACTTTCAAATGTGTGCTCAGCTTCAAAATCATAAAGGAATAATCTTAACCACTTAGTGACTGGAGGGGAAAACAAATGGTAAAGCCTGAACACAATTTTGCTTTGACATGTGCTAGTAAAACTAATATATCTTGCTTTTTCCCAAGACAAATTGGGCTTTCTTTTGGTTGTAAATGTAATGAATATCTCATGATTTTTTTTTATTAACAAAAGGAAAACTGTCCCAAAATTTTTTTCCCAATTTAGCTGTACATTTCTTTACATTACCATAATTTACCACCAAAGAACAACCCAAAATCATTTCTCCTGTTCCTGACAATTGCAGCGATACCATGTGTGTGTTAGTTGTGTGTACTTGTAATAGGGCCCAGAAACAATAGTGCACATTTTGCTTTTTTATCCTAACTAAAACACACTGATACTAATTTAAAAAAAAGGTTTTTTTTTTTGTTTTTTAAGAACTACCACAAATACTGTGACCCTGACCTTTGCACCTCTCCTTGACCCTAACACTAACTCTGGCATTGACCTAGATCAAACCTTGATCGAGCAATCTTTTTCCCCACACACTTGTTTATTTACATCTTAAATCACCTGCAAGCAGTGCAATGTATCTATCTGTCTCGCAATTCAGAAGGCAAAGTAAACACATGGGCGGGCTGCAGAATGACCACCACTGTGATAGCTAATCAGAGGCTATCACAGAGGTCAGGTTACCCCACAGCTGGGAGTCCCGAGACCTGATCATTACTACAAAACCCTGGGCTCCCGGTGAGAGCTCGGTCTCTGTGCTGAGAGCAAGCTGTGCAGCACGCATAAGTGTATGTGAACCCTAACAATGAGCCGCTCCTATTTACTCCATTTTTGCCTAGTAAATAAACCACTGAAAGCGTTTTTCTTATATCTGTTCCATACATGCAAAAAGAAAACAATACGCCTGAGCAGCAGTGACTGGTCTTTACTACAGGAAATTCCAGTATTATTACAGAGGCACAGTTTCACACTATATTACAGCGCAAAAGAAATGCACAAAGCACACCAAGTTTTAAGAATACACATGCCTCTTGTATATTAAAATATTTTATCCTAGAGTTAGATTTAAAGTGAAACTGCATTTTTTTCCAGTGTAATATTTTCCATTTTACCCCTATGTGAATATCTGCTACAGACAGATGCTGATGTGCAGGAAAACTGGTGCATTTAAGGCCTACATTTACCTATGGGTCTGTACTTCTGTACTTCAACCATTTACTACAGCTTTACATCTAAATATGTTGGAGTGGTGGATATGTATTTTCTGCATTTATAAAACTTCAGGAAAACACACACAAAAAGGAAGCCAGTTTGTTTCCAAAAGAACTGTGGCAAAAAATCAGGGAGGTCTACTTTCCAAGAAAGGGTCAACTGGGTGTGGAGGGGGTCTTACTTACTGCCGTTGCATATTTAATGTTTTTAAACAGAACGTAGGGGAAATTGGCTTTGTTTTTGAAAATGGATTGTGTTTACTTTACATCGTAATAACATTCAAAAAAATGTTTATATATATATATATATATATATATATATATATATATATATATATATATAGATAATTAAATATCACAGAAAGAAAGATTTCTCTGATAAAATTATATAAATTTCACTTGGGTAAAGTGTTGCATGACTCAGCAATTGTTAAGCTCTCATTGCATAGTCTAACTAAAAAGCCTGGTAATGAAAGGGTATTACAAGCTAGTA